AGCTCATTCACATTCACAACCACTCAACAGGAAGGTACTCTCATTCTCCCCTATTTCAGCCAGGGAGCAGTGGAACCGAGATGGGAACCTAAGCCACCTTGGGTTCAGGTGGGTCCTAACCACCACACCTGCCTTGAGAGCCACCCCGCCCAGGGCCACCAGGCCACCCTCCGCTCATGCCGGCTCACTTCCTCTGCTGGCCACCGCCACCAGTCCTTCTGCCCTCTGATCTCTAACCCAGCCTCTGATCCACTGACCCGTCCGCCCGTCCGTGGCCCTGCTGTATTAGTTTCCTGTGTAACAGGTCACTGTAACAAGCCACCACACACTTGGTGGCTTAAAACAGCACAGATTTATTCTCTTGCAGTTCTAGAAGTCAGAACTCAGTCTCAATGGGCTGAAACCCAAAGGGGCCGATGGCCCCTTCCTCCATCTTCAGAGAGCATCATTCTAGTCCCTGTCGCATGGTTACGTCACCGCCTCTTCCTTTGACCTTCTTGTCTCCCTCCTGTAAAGACCCTGTGGTTACACTGGGCCCACTTTCCTCACCTCCCCAGCCCCACATCCAGCCCCCAGCAAGTCCAGCCCCTTGGCTTTACTTTCAGGATGAGGCTAGATCCGATGCCTCCTTGAATCTCCACTGCGACTCCCCACTCTGAGCCTCTCGCATCTCCCATCACAGGGGTGATCAGGGGTCTCCTAACTGGCCGTCCTGCCTCTGCTCCTGCCTCCCTAGGATCTGCTCCCCACACAGCCCCAGAGTGATCTTCTCAAACATGGAACAGATCACGTCACTCACTGCTTAAAACCCCTAATGGCTTCTCACACGCTTAAATCCAAAGTCCACGGGCTCTGCCTGGCCTGCCTCTCAGCCTCATCTCTTCCGCCCCCTGCTCTGTGCTGAGCTTGCAGCAGCTGCCCTTGCCTTCTTGCTCTCTCTGGGCCACTCCACCCCAGGGCCTTTGCATGTGCTATATCCTTTGCCTGAACGCTCTTCCCCAGCTGTTCACATGGCTTGCTCTGTCACCTGATTCAGGCCTCCACTCAAATGTCACCTTGTCAGAGAGGCCTTCCGGGACCACCGTCATTCTCCAACCTTAGGGAACTCATCGATACGTGCTGTTTCCTCCTTTTCTGCCTATCTCTCAATTACACTGTGAGCTCCCTGAAGGCTGCTGTCTGGAATTTGCTGCACTGAGCTCAGTGCTAAGAAGGGTGCCGACACGTCCCGGCCCCTCAGTACATGTAGAAGCAGTGCCTGAGCGGAGCCGTAGCCGAGCGAGCTGGTCTGTGAGGTTGATGGGATCTCCCAGAGGGCGAGGCAGGGGAGGGGGAGTTCTGGGCAGCAGGGGCAACATGGGGAAAAGGTCACATGACTGCGCCTGGGAGAAGTGGGAAGGCAGGCTGGGCGACCGCAGGACCCCACGCCTCTAGAAGGCGTCTGAGGAGGAGGAGCCTGTTGGACCTTAACAGAGGGGCACATCTCCCCCGAAATAGATCAGGGAGAGGGTCAAAGGGCTGAGCCAGTAGAATTCCTAAAGCACGGGGGCCACACGGCTGCACCCCTTCCCTCTGTGTAAGCCCCCAGGATCGTACCTAGGAGGCCTCAGGGAGCCTTGGTGAACCCCACTTAGGAACCGTGCTTAAAACATCGCTGTCTCCTCTTCCCAAAGGAGGAGACTCATGCCATGGCCAGTTAATTAGGGTATTTGCAGGCTTTAATTGGCTACTTTCCCCAGGGCCCTCTGAAACAGTAGTGGCGCAGTATGAGCTTTGTTTCCAGACTGCCTTCTGTTGACCTCCAGTTGGCAGGGGGAGCAGAGGAGGAGGCTGGAAGAGGGCAGGTGGCAGGGGCCGAGACCTGGGCCCGTGTTTCTTCCCCCTAGATTGAAAGAGTGAGGCGGCCCCTGCAGCCCTGGAGCTCCAGCTCAGGAGGCCACACTGGGTCTCCCCACCTTCCCCCCAAGGGCACCAGGAGCCCTCACTCTGTCCCACCCCACAGGGAGAAGCACCGGGAACTGAGTGCTGGCACGGGGGCAGGCTCTGTGCCCACAGGCCCCTGCGAAGGTAGGTCCCTCCCATCTGGACTCGAGTGGTGGCCCAGGCCCCCTTCAGGGGGCCTGTTGGGGGGCTCCTCAGGCCCACTCCCAGGGACCCTTTGGCCCCGGGTCAGGTGCTGGCAGGCAAGGCCCTGCCTGCTCTGCCTCACCCTGCGTCTGCCTGCAGCCCCTGAGGACCCGCTGGCCCAGCTGCTGCAGGTGCTTCAGAACCTCCGGGAGGCCCATAGATCCAGCCCAGCCGGCTCCCCGCCCGCAGAGCCCAGCCGCCGCCTGCAACCGCAGACGTGAGGCCTGCCCCACACCCCCTCGCCAGCCCCTGCCAGGTGCTTGGAGACCCCTGGTGCACTCTTGGCCCTTCATCTCAGTCCCTGTCACTCGGCCTGGTCTCTTGTGGGCCGGGTGAGTTGGGGGAGCCAGGGACAAGGGGGTCCAGAAGTGCAGAGCTGACAAGGCTTTGCCCAGCATGGCCCACCTGAAGTCTCTAGGAGACTTCGGGAGCGCCCGCTCCTCTTTGAGGTCTGGCTGCTCCGTACGGCCCCTGCAGCCATTGCCACCACTATCCCAGACTCCCCAGGAACCCTCCTCTCTGCCCAGGGCAGACGCAGCCAGGAACCACCACTAGGATAGTCCAGGCCCAGGTGGACCGACGCTCCTTGGACCCAGAGAGGCAGGAGGGAACATGGGGCCAGAGACGAGGCCTCGACCTCAGCACCCCCTTTGCTCTCGGCTACCACCCCGCCTGCCCCCCTCGTGGCCACTGGCTGCGCCCCCTGGGAGAGTGTCACGGTGCTCTTTTGCTGACAATAAACCTGCTGTGACTGTCACAACTCGGGCGTCTCATGATGGGGGTTGGGGGAGGGAGTGGGTGGGAGTGGCCAAGGACTGGGGCCACCAGCATGGCCTCTGCGAATCCCTATTGCCCCTTCTTTGCTTCCCCCCATCCCGAGGGGTGCTCCTTTCTCCTCCCAGCCACTGTCCCCACCACACCCCTTGGTCCCATTTCTCTGTCCCCCATGGGCTACAGAGCCTGATGTGTCTCACGAGCTGCCCCTCTCCTCACAGCCCCCAAACAGGCATTTCCTCCAAGTGTCCTGAAGACTGCACAGCGGGGCTGGGTTCAGACCCTTGAATCACGGGCCTGGCTCTGGCAGTGTCCTTTATGCCAGCCCTCTCTGCCAAAGCAAGGTCACCTCTGTCGTCACCTCCCCATCCTCATCCCGATCCACCTCTAGGTACACAGTAACCTCCAACATAATTAACAAGACGGGAGAGGGGCAGGGTCTTCCAACATGTTCTTAAAACTCTTATTTAGCCAAGCTTGGAGCCTCGCCTGTGAATTCTAGCCTAGGACAGTCCCCAAGGGCCCGGGTCACAGGTAGGACCCCTGCACCAGCTCACCAGCCAGGCTCTGGGGCAGGGCCATCTGGGCAGGCTGCATACTGGGTTCCTTGAGGGATGGCGTAGAAAGGCATGGGGGGGGCGGTCGAAGGAGCAAGGGGCTGCCCCCTCCACTCTACCCTGTGGCTTGGGGGCCATGTCAACCTCTTTTCCTGGCCACAGCCTTGATGGGGGCATTGTCCCCCCGCCCCCAAGCAGCCCACCAACTCAACTCCTTGGTGGGGATGCTACCATCCTAGGGGCCTCATGGGCCTCTTTGCAGGGCCGGGCCTCCTTCCCCTCCTGGCCCAGGCTTGGGTCCAGGGGTGGCTGAGCCTGCTCCGCCCCTCCCCGCAGCACAACATCTGGTTCTCCAGCTACTTCCGTAGGCTTCACCCAAATCCTTATGCCTGTGGATCTTCTTGGGTTCAAGGACCTCATGGTCCGGAAGTATGGACCCCAGGGTCTGCTGAACCCTAATGCAGGAAGTGAAGGGGAAAGAGAGGTGAGCACTTACTGGGGTGGCAACAAATCAAATTCTGGATTGTAACTGCACACACACAGCCACCCACCCGGCAGCAGCCGCCACCCTCTCCTCCAGTGGATCCTGGTGTGGGCGTGGCCACTGTGGCCAGGAGGGGGTTAAAATGAATAACTGCCTGGCACTGCCCTCACTGCTCATGTACCCCGCACCCCAGGTTCTCCTCTCAGGCTCTGAGCAGAGCTGCCTACAGCCCAGGGTGCCACATTCGTTTTGGAAGCCACCTGGAAAAGGAGAGGGACAGAAAAGACTCCTGCTTGTGCACAGCACAGGAGGGTGTGAAGGTCACAACCTACACCTGCCCAGGGATTCTGCACCCCACCCCCACGTCACCCTGGGATTGCCAGGCCTGTTATTCACCTGGGGCCTGGACAGGTCCCCCAGATGTCTGATAGGACCCTCAGACAGAGGCTTGCAGCCAAGGGGGCCGGCATTCACCACAGGGCAGCACCCTGCGCAGCCCTGGGTGGGCCTAGCTCACACAGTACATGTGTCTTTCATCCTCCAGGCCTGTCTCATAGGAAATATGGGGCAGTTCCTACCAGCCGCCTCTTGGGAAATTCCTGTCAAAGTGTAATTTTCAAATACATAAAAAAATGACATACAAATATAGAATGAACATGTATCAAAGATTTATTACACTTCAAGGAGGGAATGAGTGTTTGGCAAAGCTGGTTTCTAGAGCATTTTGAGAAGCTGGGTATTTGTAAGCATTCCGAGAACAGATTGCTAGAATAAGATTGTGATATTTGATACAAAACTGGTTAATGGAGTTTTCTTCTCTATGGCATAGAAACCTACAAGTTAATAAGTAACTTCAGTGTCTAGGTTTTAATCAAATAATAAATATCAAAGTAAAACAAAGGTCCGTTCCCCAAGATTAGGGATTGGCAAGCTTTTTCTGCAAAGGCCCAGGCATGCAGGTTTTGGTCCCAGTTGCTCTGGTAGCACAAAAGCAGCCACAGACAATGAGTAAACAAATGCGCGTGGCGTATTCCAATAAAACTTTATTTACAAAAATACGTGGCAGGCTTGATTTGGTCCACAAGCCCTTACATTTTACGATCTCTGCCCCAGTTAATGAAATAACCCTTGGTCAGACCTGTCCAACAATGCTCCAGTATGACATTGATAGAATATGCCGCACACTTGCCTTTCACCTTATTTCCAAGGTTGGAGAATGTTTCTCAACACCCCACATTCCAGCAGCCCCTTCCACAGTGGTGCCCGGCAGGCCTCTTTCTCTTAGTCTTATGAGAAGATGAGAGGTGAGAATGCTCATTTGGCCTCCCCTTGGGGACGGACACCTGCATTGAGCCGCTGAAGACTCTTTGGGGGCTGACAGCTTCTGGAGCCCAGGATCTCATGTTGGTCTGGGAATCAAAGGGTGAGTGAGACCAGAACTCCCCAAGAGAGGACAGACTTCCACAGTGGCAGGGAGTGGAGCCCCTGCTGGGTAAAAATCCTCTCCTCACCCTGTCCCTACCCAAGTTAAGGGTGGCCAGCCTCGTCACCTCCAGGTCTCAGTAACCCTGGCAACGGTAGAATCCTTGGCCCAAACTTTTCCAGGATGACCCAGAAGGGTGAGGGTACCATCTCGGAGCATCATTACCCTCACTGCCTTCTATTCCACACCAGTTAGAGGCCCCCACCCTCTTGGCCTGGAGAGTGAAGGTTCTCTGTGGGCCTCCCGCAAATAATGACACTCCTCACCCCAGCACTCCAGGCTCAAGTAGGAAAGGGCCCTTCCCAGGAAGTGGTGGTGGAAGCTCCAGATTTCCTGGGGGGCTCCTCAGCTGCTGCCCAGCCCTGAAGAAACACCTGGGAAGCTATTAGGGCCCCAGTCGCTGATCTGAGACCCCAGCCCCTGTTGCTTCAAAGAGCTCAGGTAGGGCCTTTATACTGTAGTCTGCAACATATCAACCAATCAAAACAGGGACGGATACACTTATCCCTCGGAGTGCCTCTCTCACACCTCTATACACACACCTGCCTCCTCCCCCAGCCCTCACCCAACTGTCCCCCTAACAAGAAGCTCACTAGGCCACAAGCCCACTTGACAAGCCAGTGACAACCCAGCCAGGGGTCTTGTAGCAGTCCGTCTGGGCAGGGGCTTTATCCATACACAACCGTCCGGCTCAAGGGGGTTTCTTCCGCGCTCCCCCGGCCACACCTGCACACTACCCCATCGCTCCACTCTCCACTCAGGGGCCTCTTGCTACGTACTCCAAGGGCACATTTCCAAAGAGGATAAAGGGGCATGGGGAGTGGAGAGAGGCACAGCTCAAGGTTCCGGCTTAGCCTGGACGAGGACGTCTCAATACGAACAGAGCACCCTCCAGCGCTCGGGGCATACGCCAAAGTGCGCCCGCAGGCGAACCCCCGAGAGGAACTTCCGGACTCACGCATGCGCAGAGCCACCAGCCTCCCATAGTCCCTCCCGCGGGCGTTTCTCGCACCTGCGCAAGATCCTCCAGTCCGATAGGGGGCGGTGAGCCGGTCCTCACGCGGCTTTGGCACTGCCGGCGTAACACGGAAGCAGCCGCTAACCCGGAAGAGGTTGCGGTGTAGGGCTGTGGAGGCAGTGGTGGCAGCAGCTGCGACTTTGGAGCCAGTTGAGGCGCTGGGATGAACGCCCCTCCCGCCTTCGAGTCGTTCCTGCTCTTCGAGGGCGAGAAGAAGTAAGTGGAGCAGGCCGGGGCGGGGACGGTCGGACCGAGGGTCGGTCGCAGATTCTGGGGCTTCTCCTGCCCGTCCTCTGCGGGGGATGGAAGCAGCTTTTGCTTGAGCGTCCGCTCGGCCGAGTCTGCCAAAGTAAGACAGGCCTGCGAGGCGGTGGTGAGTCTCCCCATTTTGCAGATGAGGACACTGAGGCTCAGAGAGGTTAAGTAACTCCCCCAGGAGCACAGGAGGTGGCGGGTCTGCATTCGAACCCAGAATGTCTGGCTCCGAAGTCCTTTCTTTCTGGAATCTGGCAGCCTCCTCACTCATCTTCCTGCCCGCCACCTCTATCCTCCTTGCTGCAGCCAGAGTGGGGGCTCGTAGACTCCCATCCGATCTTCATTCCCCTGTGTAAAAGCTTCAGTGACTCCTCACGGCCTGCAGGGTGAAGGAGAATGTAGTCTAGGGGTCAAACAGCTCGGCTTGGCTCCTGGATCCCCCCCTTAAGGACTTTGTATCTTTGGGCAAGTGACTCAGTCTGCCTGAGGCCCACTTTCCTCATCTGGAAAATGGGCTTATTACTGCATTAAATCACAGGATTTTCGCTAAGGGGAGATTAAATGAGGTAATGTATGTAAAGTGCTTAGTCCAGGGCTCAGGGCATAGAAGACCCTCATCGTCGGCTTTTCCTTCTCTCAACAGCCTGGTCTGCAGGGCTCTGTGGTCTGGCTCTTGCCAGGCACTTCAGTGTCCCTGAGAGCAGCGGTTCTCGATCGGGGACCATTTTCCCCCCCAGGGGGGCTTTTGGCAATGTCTGCAAACATTTTTGGTTGTCACCAAGGGGCTGCTCCTGGCATGTAGTGGGTAGAGGCCAGGGGTACTGCTAATATCCTGCGGTGTACAAGACAGCCCCCTACAGAGAAGAATTATCTGGCCTAAAATGTCAGTGGTGCCAAGATTAAGAAACTCCGCTTTAGGGAAAGGAGCAATCCAGAGTCAGCGCGAGTCCCACGGAGTCAGGGCGTGTCTGGGGTCAGGGTAGAGACTCACTGCTGCCCTGAGTCAGGGGTCTTCATGGGACGAAGAGATTGGGAAAGGCTTCCAGGAGGAAGTGGGACTTGAGCCTGCCTTGAAGGGCAGGGTTTAGACTCGGGGGAGGAGGGGAGCCCCTGCCCCCCATCTGTTGCCTCTGCCTCTTCCTAGGATCACCATTAACAAGGACACCAAGGTACCCAATGCCTGCTTGTTCACCATCAACAAAGAAGACCACACGCTGGGAAACATCATTAAATCGTAAGTTCCAGGTCCAAGGCTCTCGGGCTGCCTTTAGTGGGGCTCTTTGAGGCAAAGCATCAGGTCCAGAAGATTTTCTTTTTTTAAAGATTTTATTTATTTAATTTTTCCCCCCAAAGCCCCAGTAGATAGTTGTATGTCATAGCTGCACATCCTTCTAGTTGCTGTATGTGGGACTCGGCCTCAGGATGGACGGAGAAGTGGTGCCTCGATGCGCACCCGGGATCCGAACCCGGGCCACCAGCATTGCAGCGCGCGCACTTAACCACCAAGCCACAGGGCCGGCCCTTTTTTTTTTTTTTTTTTTAATTTTCTTTTTTTTTTAAGATTTTGTTTATTTTATTTTTCCCCCCAAAGCCCCAGTGGATAGTTGTGTGTCGTAGCTGCACATCCTTCTAGTTGCTGTATGTGGGACTCAGCCTCAGGATGAACGGAGAAGTGGTGCCTCGATGCGCACCCGGGATCCGAACCCGGGCCACCAGCATCGCAGCGCGCGCACTTAACCACCAAGCCACAGGGCCGGCCCTAGAAGATTTTCTTAAGTCTGTCTGTTTTTGTGCTAATAAGCACAGAGAAGCAGTCAGGATTAGCTCCCACCCAGCTGCCCCTATTGGTGACATGACCGCAGTGACACCTTGCATTCTAGATGTGTGTGGCAGAGACTGAAACTGAACAGAGTAAGAAGTGGGAGAGGGGCTCTGTGGTTAGCCGGTGCCCCTGGTGGGTTCCTGCTATTGGTTGGTGAGTATGTTTACACCAGTTAAGTCCTGGCCAGGTGGGTGGTCAGTGACGTGGTTGCCGCTCTGGCCCAGGGACGTGTCATTTCACTGCCGACAGTGCCATCAGTGAAGCCAGGCCTCTCCCAGGTTTGCGTGTTTGAGGCCGAGGCGGGAGCCGCCTGGTCTCCTGGTGTAAGTAGGGGGTGGGGTTGCCCATCTTCTGTCCGAATGACTCCCACCCTGAATAAGCCAGTGGTGCACCCCTGCTGCTCCGCTGCTGTGTGAGCCCAGTGTCCCCACCTGTGCCAGGGCCCTCCTTCTTGGTGCTCACATTTGACTGAGCTGCTCTGGAGAGAGACCCCGCTTGCCCAGGGCACAGCACACGATGCAGGCTTCACGTCACACAGCCACGTAGAACAGGACCCCACATGTGGACAGCAGCTGCCAGCTGGTGTTGCCCAAAGGACCTCCATCTCCATTTCTTCACTGCTCAGAGCTGGGGGCCCCTGCTCCCTTTATTTGCTGTGCCAGATGCTCTTTTGGGGCTGGAATGGGGCTTTTGTGTTTTGGTTTACTGAACACTGGCTGGATGTTTACAGCCTAGGGAGGTCTCTTTGTGGGCGCTGCGGGGTCCCTGACTTCCCCTGAGGGAGGAGGTTGCTGGAAACCCTGTTTACCAGCTAGGGTCCTTGATGCTCATGGATGTAGGGGGGTGTGGGAGGAGTGCCCACATGGTATATCTTCTTCAAGTCTGTTGTCTTTGAAGATTTTGGGGGGACAAAAAAAAACACTAAAAATCAAGAGTAGGGAACCACCTGGGGTCAGCCCCCAGTGTATTTGCTTACACGCCTCAACCCAATGGGAAGGTTCCTTGGTTAGAAGGCCTGGTAAGCCAGAAGGGGCCAAAGCCCCAGGGGCACTGGGCTCGCCTCTCTCACACTGCCCATCTCTCTGTCTCAGACAGCTGCTGAAGGACCCACAGGTGCTGTTTGCTGGCTACAAAGTCCCCCACCCCTTGGAGCACAAGATCATCATCCGCGTGCAGACCACACCAGACTACAGCCCCCAGGAGGCCTTCACCAATGCCATCACAGACCTCATCAGCGAGCTCTCCCTGCTGGAAGAGCGATTCCGGGTGAGGAACCAGATGTGCAGCTTGGGGGTCGGGGTGGTCTAGGTGCCAGCCTGTGCCCAGAGCTGCAGTGTTCTTATGCCACATAAGATGAGCCCTGGGTTGTTTCCTCTGATTTACTTGTGGAGGGAGGGGCAGAGGTGATGACAGAGCAGGGACCTCCACCACAGCCTCTAGGCAGCGTGGACTAAGGGGTTACGGAGTTGAGCCCCAGGGCCTGCTGTCTGCATCCATGGGTGGACCCTACCTAGCGCTCCAGGGTCTCCTTGGGAGCTCTCGTGGTCCCTGTGGAAGCAAGAGGCCTAGTGACCCTTGGGGCTGCTCCTCCAAGTCTTTTCTCTGTGGTGTTCGCTGCTTTGTGCTCTGTAAGGTCTGGCTGCTTCCAGGGCATTAGTTTCTCTAGGGGGCAGCTCATCCTAGGATGGGGTCCCACAGTTAAGAAGCCACATGGGTGTGGTCACACCTGTTCCTGCAGGGGACTTCAGAGTTGAGATGAGTTAGAGTGGGAAAGATCCGGCGTGTCAGCTTTTCATATCTAAGTCATATGCCCACCAGGAGGTCCCTCTGCCCCACCTCACTCCCACCCCGGCAGCAGGACCTGTGCTGCAGAGAAGTCACGGGCTGGGCGGGGCTGGCTCAGGGGGGTCCCTGGAGCTGCTCAGGGCCCCGGTTTGCTGCCTCTGTTCAGTTCTGGCAGTGCTCTGGAGAAAGGCCGTGGCAGTAGTTTCCCGTCAGACCTTGGTCAGGGATGCTGGGCTTGCGTTCCCAACATCCTCACCCCGGCCATTCCAGCTAAGTGTGCTGCCTTCTTCCTCCCCAGGTGGCCATCAAAGACAAGCAAGAAGGAATCGAATAGTGGGCTGGAAGGAGTCTGGTTTGGCGAGTTCTGTCCTGCACCGGGCCCTTCTGCAGGCACCAAGTGGAGGAGAGCAGCTCCTCCCAGCTGTGGGCCTCCTTGTAGATATCCCAGTGAGCCCCTCACCCCCCGACACCGACGTGTCCTGTACATAGATTGTTTTACCCTCCTAATAAAGTGTGGCAGGGAAAAGACCTGGATGTGGGGCTGGCCCCGTGGCTTAGCAGTTAAGTGTGCGCACTCCACTACTGGTGGCCCGGGTTCGGATCCTGGGCGCACACTGAGGCACCGCTTCTCTGGCCATGCTGAGGCTGCGTCCCACATACAGCAACTAGAAGGCTGTGCAACTATGACATATAACTATCTACCGGGGCTTTGGGGAAAAAAAAGGAGGAGGATTGGCAATAGATGTTAGCTCAGAGCCGGTCTTCCTCAGCAAAAAGAGGAGGATTAGCATGGATGTTAGCTCAGGGCTGATCTTCCTCAAAAAAAAAAAAGACCTGGATGTGGGCTGAAGCAGAGAGAGGTGACTTCACAGCAAATGGATTGTCAGTCTCGGTGGAGGCAGGTGACCTGTGTCAAAGCCACTTTGGGGCCACATTTCAAAGTAGACTGACCCAGAGACCCAGGCTTCTGTCTGGGAGGGTGGCAGGAACAAGCTCATTCTTGACAACAACTGGGAACTTGGGCGGCTGCCAAGGAGGCAGTCTTGAGCAGAAGGAAACTGAAAACCCATGTAGTTCCATGAGTCTCTGCTCTAGAAGCCTCAGCTGCCAGGTCTGCCTGTCTTACTCAAAGTAGGAATACCAGAGGGCCCCCAAACAGCTCACCACAGGCTTCTCTTACATAGTAGTTTAATAAAAATTTATTCACCGATAAAAAGATCCCCATCATGAGCCCAGAAGCTGAATAAGTTAAGTTGTGTCCCTGGTGCTCTGCGCAGAGGCAGAGCTTGTGCTCGAGGCTACTGTCTCTTCCATATGGCTACAATGTTGGAGTCCGTCAGAGCGGTGAGGTAGGTACAGGTGGGGTTGGCCACCACCATGTTCACCATGGTCTTGGTCACCGTCTGGCCAAGGGCCCAGGGCTGGGGCCACTTCAGGATCTGGTGGGAAGAGAGGGGGCTGGGCTTCTGCTTCCTAGATACCAGGCCCCTCGTCCTGACAGTCCCCGGGGGCGGGAGAGAGCCATGTATACCTGCGTGGGTGCCTGCAGGCCTGCCGGCAGCGGAGGCTGCTGCCTCAGGATGTGCCTGACGTCGTAGACCCACACGTTGCCCTCCTCGTCCCCACAGAGCACAATCCCTTCATCTGCCAGGACACACACTGGAATCTCAGGGGGGCCAGGGATGGGCAGAGCTCCTAGAGGTGGCGGGTGGGTGGGATAGGGTGGGCAGGCTCACCAGGACAGGTGCTGAGTGAGAAGTAGGCCAGCTCGGTGGGTGACCACTGCAGCCGAGCCAGGACCACTACCGCCACTGTGGACTGGCTGCCCCGGCCCAGCCACGTCTGGCCCCAGCTCCACAGGTAGATGGTGCCTGGGCTGTTCCCCTTAGAGGCTGTGGGGGAGAACAGAACTGTGCCTAGGGGCCTTCTCCAGACACTGCCTGTTCCCCAGTGGGGACCCCTCAGAAGCCTTCAGACCAAACCCCAGCCCACGGAGAAGTGACCCACGAAGGCCTTCCCAGGGCCCACCTGCGTCTCAGGAGGCCAGGTGGGCCCCTGAGCCAGGCTCACTCACCCACGACATCCTCATTCACAAACGCCAGCCCATCCACTCTCCGTCTAGATGCCTCGGGGCCCTCGGGGAAGACGAACTCCACCTCACACACCCTGGGGGGCAGAAGACGCTGGTCGGCTATTCCTTACACACACAAGAAGCTGCTCATTTGTTCAGGTATCAGCTGGGCATCTACTCTGGGGTCTGCCCTGGGTGAAGGGCAAAAGATGCAACCAGAAAGACCCATTCTGGGCCTTGGAGGCGTTCAGCTTTGCCCTGGAAGGAGGAGCTAGCACCTGGGTGTACTGAGTTCCAGGTGGTGGGACTTTAGAAGCATGAGGGGCTGGTTCTTCCAGGATGGGGGTGGGGGGAGTGGCCAGGAAGGGTTCCGGAAAGAGGCAGTGCCTCTGGGACTGAGAGAAGAGCAGGAGGAGTTCACGAGGCAGCTGAGCGCTGGGGGCCTGAGAAAGTAGAGACTGGGGAGGGGTTTACTCTGCCCCCAAGGACAGTGGGGGAGGAGCTGCTGAATGTTTCCTCGCTGAGACTGTGTGGGGTCACAGTGTGCTTGGAAAGTCCAGCCAGCAGCTGCCTGGAGTGCTGAGAGGCCACCTGGAGCCAGAAGGCAGCCAAGTACCAAGCATGAGAGGCAGATGCATCTGAGATGCAGGAGGAAGGCCAGACGACTCGGGGGCCACGCAGACATGGCCGGGCAGAGAGGAGACAGGCCCAGGGCTAAACTCCCAGGGCAGCACAGTCACCACCAACACGTGGCTGGAGAGCTGCCACAGTCTGCGGAGACTTCCCCTCCCCTCCCTGAAGCAGCTGCTTCACTCCTGCCACCCACTGTAAACTTCTTCCCAGGCTAGTCACTGCACTTAGGACAAAACAAAATCGCACCACGGCCAACAAAGCCCACAGGCCCTGGTCCCGGCAACCCTGCCACTTCATCTTGTGCCATTTCCTCCAGTTTTCCAAGCTGTAGCCAGACCTCCCCGGTCAGCCAGCTCTCCCTGCCGCGGGCTCTTTGCACATGCTGTTCCCTCTGTGCGAGCACCTTCCTTCCCTCTCCTGCCTGACTCCCTCGCAGGGCTCACGGACAGCAGGAGCCTGAGACCCCATCTGTCCACCACTGGTCACCCCTGTTCCCCTCTCAGAGCACCCTGTTCTCTTTCCTTCATAGCTGATGTCACACTTCGTAGGGTTCTAACTGGCCACCTTAGTTTAAGGCCTATCTCCCCCACTAGGCTGTGGGCCCCACGAGGGCAGGGACCCCACGCCGAGCCATCTCAGGTCTTCTGGCTGGTACAGATGGGACACAGGCCTCACCCTGGTGTTCCCTGGGCCTCATCCCTGTCCAGACACACCTCCCTTGTCCCCGACTAGCCCTGGGATGCAAGTTGCTGTCCCTGCTTTACAGATAAGGAAATTATGCTAGGACAGAGGAAGGTCACTCTGCTAGTGGGTGGCAGGACCTGGGGCGGTTGGTGAAGCCCCACGTTGAAGGTAATGTGATCACAGCCCAGTCCCCAGCCCAGCGCAGGTAAGGAATGGGTCACAGGATCCCTTCCTCGAGAGCCCAGAAGGTGGGATGGGGGCATGGTTTGGGCAGGTGTGCCCGGGGTCAGACATCTGGACTGGCAGCCGCCCAGCTCTGAGGCTTGGCTTTCAAGGCATCCCCACCTGGCCTCACCTCTTCTTTTGAGGCTGGTCCAGCCGCACGTCCCAGCAGCAGCAGCCACCCTCGCAGCCAGCCAGCAGGTAGGCATCCGGGCAGGAGGCAACCGGGCAGAGGCGCAGGGGGATGGAAGTGGTATCAAGCGTGAGCAGCTGGCTGCCAGCAGGCGAGACAGAGAGCGTGAGCCCATGGACCCAGGTGTCCACCTATCCTAGCAGCTGTCCCCTCCCCGCCAGCCCTGCCCCAAAGCGTTACCTGGCCTGGAATTCGTAATCGTGGTTGGGCACCCCAATGTCCCAGAGGATGATCCGCTTGTCATAGGAAGCCGCTGAAGAGGTGATGGGAGGAGGACAGGTGGCTCTGAGGAGGCCCTGCTCCCTCCTGCGGGCCGTATCCCAGGCTGAGACTGTGGTCCCAAGGCCAACCCCTCCAAGGCAGGGAGGAAGGGCCTCAGCTAGGAGATTCAGGGGCCTACAGTCCCTATCTTGCTCTAACCCACACCAGGGAGCCGTCTTTGGGAGGTCTCTGCTCACAGAATACCCTTGTTGGGTTCACCACACCTGGAGGGCCAGGGGTATCCACCCAGGTCAGACAGAGTGGCTCAGGTTGCTGGCAAGCTTCAAGGCCACAGAGCAGGTTGGAAGAAAAGCCCGGATCCGAAGCCCAGTCTGTTGACTACGAAGCCACGTTGCTTCTACCACGGCCGGAGCCGACCTCGCAGCCCAGTGTGAGGCCCACCAGCCCCATGAGCTCCCCACCATCCCAGGGAGGGAGCACTGAGGCGCCAGGCTGCAGGACGGGGGTGCCGGGGAGCCCCAGGGGTCTGGGGAGCGGGTCTTACTGAAGAGGTGGGTCTCGTGGGTGGGGCTGAAGCAGAGGGTGGCGATGGCCTTCTTGTGGGCCCGGATGACCCCGCAGCAGAAGCCGGCACGCACGTGCAGCAGCCGGACCAGGCCCCGCAGGCCTGCAGCTGCCAGCACACTCCAGCGCTTCTTGTGGCCTGCCTGAGTGACCACCATCAAGGCTGTCCAGGCCACTGAGAAGAACTCCTGGGGGAAGAGGGGGAGCAGTCACCGAGGGGCAGGTCATAGAGCTATATGTGTGTGCACAGGCCTGCAGCATCGGGCTGGGGAACTGAGGCCCAGCACCAAAGAAAAAGGTCACCTGGTGAGTAGGTGGCCAAGCCTGGACCCCCAACCTAGCACTCCCGCCCCCAGGAGCCAAGGCTCTCCCTGTCACCCTGCAGGAGCAGGCCCCTGGCACTCACCTCGCCTGGTGCCTTGTACTTGTGCAGCACGATGCCCGTCTGGCAGTCTATCACACACACGGCCTCCCCGCCACACGTGGCCACGGTCTGGGACGTGGCCCCTGCATGCCCTGTTTTGAGGGGTCAGCTTAGTAAAAATATTTTCTGTAAAGCTTCCCCCTGCAGCTCCTCCTGGCCTTAACAATACTTTTTAAGCTCTCCGTTCCTCAGGATTCCCCACCCACCCACGCAGCCCCCTCCAGGTGGCATTCTGGGGCTCCCTTCTAGAAAGCTTGTTCTGCTTGCTCCCTGGGGCCCCGCCCTGGCCCTGCCTGCCCACCATGGATGTACCCTCCTCCCAGGCCGGCTCGAAGGCGCAGGCCCAGAGCTGGGTCTCCAGGTCCCGCGGGCTGTTGTTCTTGCTGTGGCACTGCAGGAAGTGCAGGGGCTCCAGCTTCAGGGCCGGCTGTGGGGGCAGAGGGGGGTCACGGCGGCCCCAGCCCTGGCTCCCACCACGCACTCCCTGCCACCTTACTAGCTTACCTGGCTGCCATCAGAGCCCACGGGGCTGCCCTCCACTGGAGCCAACGGTGAGGTGCACACTCGCTTCTTGGGAGAGAGGTTGAGTGGGATATCATCTGACCGTTTCAAGGCCACTGGCCTAGCCTGTGGAGGGCATGGGAGGCGGGCTGATGGCCTGGTGACCATGGGCCCATCTGCCCAGGACTTTCTTCCTCCCCATCACAGGCTAGACTGCACCTTCCCATGGTGTGGGATACACGGGCCGACCCAGGGTCTAAGAGAACTAGCTTGGGCAGCTGAGGCCATCTCCTGGCTCATTTCCAGCACCCCCCTCTTCCCTGCAGCCTCCCTAGGCAGGAAGGGCCAAGGCAGGCCCTTGGAGGCCTGGGAGCTGCATGGAAACACACTCACCCTGGGCTGGGCAGCTGTGGATTTTGGGGGCCTCTCTGGGCTGTCTGCCTCATACACCTGGATCCCACCAGAGGCCACCAGCTCCTCAGAGATCATCCGCACCTGGATGGGGCCAGGCCATCAGGGAGCTGGGCACAGTCCTGGGGGCCCCCAGCCCCTCCCCAGGGAGCCTGTGTTTCCTAAGTTAGGAAAGGTCCTTTCCAGCCCACAGGGCTGCCTTCCCTAACCCACCCCACTCCCCACAGCCCCTCATGGCCAGAGACCTCCAGGGCAGCACAGTGCATAGGAGCCAGTGAGAAGCTGGGAGAACTGACCCCCAGCACAGTGGGGTGAGGACATACCCGCCACTGGGTGAATTCACTGAGGGACTCGGGCCCATAGCGGACATCCCTGACAGCAGACCTCACAAAGTCCTCCTGGGCCTTCTCCGCCTCCTCCTCTGGGCTCAGCGCAGCCATGAACTTCTCCCAGTGAGCTGTGACCTGGCCCGAGAGGGACCAGATTCAGGCCCAGCCCACCCCAGCTCTCCTGGACCCTCCATGGCACCTCTGCCTGCAATCTCATGGCCATAGGTGTCTCAACCTGGAAGCCTCCCCAAACCACAGCCTTCTCAGCTGCAGGCTGCACAAAGCTAAGCAGCACACACACACACACATACACACAAGTACCAGCGCCAGAAGCAGGAGCTGGCCCCGGTACAGTTACTGTGCTGGTGTCTCAGCCTCCCCTGCTGGGCCCTGCCTGCACACCGGGAGGGCACAACCTCCAAGGACAAGAGGCCAGGCACCACCGCCAGTCTCAGAGCAGCACGACAGGCCAGCGGCTAAGGGCTGCTGGGTGTCAGGGCAAAGAGCTCCTGTCATCGCCCTCAGAGTCCTCCAAATGTCCGCTTCTGTCACTCCCTCCCCAAGGCCCCTGACTGCTCCCAAGTCCCAGACACCTCCCAGCTCCCTTACCCTGCTGGTCAGCTCCCGGTTCAAGTTCTCCACCTGAGAGGAAGTGGACGAAGCATCCTTGCCATTGACCTTACGGAGCTTGGGCAGGAGAAAGGATACCTTCAGGTTGTCACTGACCTGGGGGATGAGGAAAGAGTGGCTCCAGGGTGCCCAGCCTGGGAGTCTGGGGCTGCTGATCCTGAGTCCAAGAGAGTGCTGGCCCTGGGCACGGGGCTGGTGGGGCCTCGACTTACTGTCAGGAAGGGGTTGCCCTCCAGGCTGAGCTCCTCCAGCTGTGGGAACTGGCACAAGGCCGAGACGTCCCCCAGCTGGTTGTTGGCGCAGCGGAGGATGCGCAGGTGGGGCAGGCCCAGGTTGGTGGGCAGCGTCTCCAGCTGGTTGTTGGAGAGGTCCAGCTCTTGCAGCTGCGTCAGGCGGCTCAGGAGCTTGGGGTCCAAGTGCTCGGACAGCAGCTTCAGCCCGGACAGGCTGGAGTGAGGGAGGCAGACCAGGAGGGCTTAGGGGCAAGCCGCCCCCCCACCCCCCACGCCTCTGGGTGCCTCGGAAGGCTTTTTCACCTGGCCGCTCTTGCGCATACACAGCTTCTCCCCAAAACTCCGCTTTTTAAAATCTTGTAACTATTTTAGCACTCGGGTAGCGTGGCCCCCTCCAGGATGCTTTTCCTGATCCTCTGGGGGGCTCCTCTGTAACTGTCTCAACAGGTTGCTCAATACTCTCTTTCTGCAAGACTGTCTCCCCAGCAGCCCGGGTCCTCTTCAGGGGTAAGGCCACTCGGGCCCCACTCGGCCCATCCCATACGAGAGGGCGGCGTTTGGCCCGAGCGATTAGAGGCTCTGCCGAACTGAGGGGGCGATAAGGGCGCCAGGCAGGGAGTGGGCAAGGGTCCCCGCCTTTCTTCCCGCCCGCCCGGCGACCGCGGCCCAGGAGGCGGGGCTGAGGGGCCCCGGCCCGGCGGACGCCCCGTGGCCCCCGGCCCGCCTCTTACTCCAGGCTCCGGATCTTCCCCAGCCGGTCGCTCTTGGGTCGCCCCCGCTGCATCAGCAGCCGCGCCGACAGGGGGCCCATGGCGAGGAGGCGCGGCCCGCGCGGGCCCGATCGGCGACACCAGCGTCGGCCGAGCCCAGGAGGTGGCGCCGCGCGAGCCCCTCGGTAGTGACGACCGGAAGGAAGCGGCCTCGCGGGCCTCGTGACCCGCGCGCGGACTACAACTCCCAGCGGTCCCCGCGGCCCAGCGGCCCTGCGGCTGCGCCCTGGCCCCAGGACGCGGCGATGGCAGCTGCGGCGGTGGCGGCCCCCGAGATCCTTCGGGAATGCGGCTGCAAGGGGATCCGGACCTGTCTGATCTGTGAGCGGCAGCGCGGAGGTGACGCGCCCTGGCAACATCCACCGCAGGTGAGGTCTGGGAGAGGAGCCGCGTCCACAGCTGCGTTCTTCACATGGGGAAACTGAGGCCCAGATCGGCCATGAAGACGGGCCCCGGATCAAACCGTGTCAGGGGCTCTCGGGGTGGAGCGTTGCGGGGTGAAGAGATGAGGGCTTTGAGGAGGGGGCTTGGAGTGGGGAAGGGCCTGGAACGGGGGCGCAGTCCGACCACAGCGCACCTCTGGGGCTGGGGGGCAGTCTGACAGCAAACCTCCACGTCGCCCCCCCCCGCGTGTCTTGGGCTTGGAGCTTCATGGGCCCGTAGGGAGACGACACGGAAAGAGTAGAGGGTGCCGAAAACCAGGGCAGAGGGCCCCAGAAGGCCTTGGACGGAAATGGGCAAGGAGGAAATTAATCCAATTAATTAACCAAAAAGGACTCAGAGCCTTCGAGCTGGGCAAGGACGTTCCAGCCGGGGGAACTGCTTGGGCAAAGGACCGGGGGAGGGGCGTGTGCCTGGAAGGTGGGGGGATGGCATGGTCGGTGGGGCCTGACCAGGCTGGATTTGTCCTGAGGGTTATGGAGGGCTCCTGAGGAAGTTTAAAGGAAGTTACAAGTGGGTTGGAGACAGATCCTTCGGTGGGAAGGGCGCATAGGAAGGTACGAAGGCTGGGAAGCCAGGGAAGAAACTGTCGCAATGTCCCTGGTAAGAGCTCGGAAGGTCCTGTGGAAAAGAGTGTGGCGGTTCCTCAGAAAATTAAGAGTAGAATTACCATGTGATCCACCAATTCCACTTCTGGGTATATACCCAAAAGAATTGAAATCAGGGTCTGGAAGAGATATTTGCACGCCCATGTTCATAGCAGCACTATTCCAATAGCTAAAAGGTGGAAGCAACCCAAGTGCCCATCAACACATGAATGGATAAACAGAATGTGATACTGAACTGTGGCGTGGCTATGGGTGTGGAGGCACAGGGCTGGGGGGCGGGGTAGTACCACCTTCCCAACCTGATGGCTGAGGGATGGGTGAAATGTACAGGATGATGCTCCATTTTCAGCGTGTCCTGTGTGAGGTGCCAGGAGACAGGACACGGTGGTTCAGAGATGGGGTGGGGGTGGTAGCAATGCCTATGGAACTTAAAGGGGGAGGAAGCAGAATTAATCAGGCAGGGAGGACCTCAGACTGCCCTGCAGGTCTGACAAAGTCTTGGCCAACCCAACTGGAAGCTCCAGAGCACATTAGGCAGTCCGGTGTTGGGCTGAAATGGCCAGGCCCATGCTGGGTCACCGGCCGGGGGCTGCCCAGGACAAGGATGGCCTCCACTCGAAACCTGAGGCAGATCCCGAGGGCACTGCTGCAGGAGGTCGTTAGCCTGGCACTCCTCCTGATGACTGGCAAGCTCTGCTCTATTTTGAAGGGAGATTCAGGCAGTGCCTGTGGCTGCCACAGGGTAAGGCAGGGCCCAGAGACATCCCCTCCTCAGCTGCAAAGGGCTTCTCCCCCTCTGGCCTCCCAGCATGTGCTGCTCACTCCCTGGAAGCCTCAGGGCCTCAGCTTTAGGGGCAGCATATTCCTCATCCAGCCCTGCTCTGGGCTGGATGCTTTCACACACTTTAATTCTCACGAGGTTGGGGAGGACAGAAGACACTCCGCAGCTACAGGGGAACAGTATGGAATTATAGGCTGCTTCCTGGCTGTGTAGCCTGAGGCTAGTTCCTTAACTTTGTTGAGCCTCATCTGTAAATTGGAGAATGAAAAATGGTTATGCAGATGCTCTTTCCTTTTACAGATGAGGAAAGTGAGAAAGGAGAGGGCTGCAGGCCTTTCCCAGGAGTTTCTGCCTCCTTCTAGACTCCAGCTGCCTTCCAAAGTGGCTTCAGAGGAGGATGAGCCACTGGGCAGGGGCTGCTCCCGAGGGGGCCTCCTGGGGGCACATGTGTGGGATGAGCCAGAGCTCCAGTGGCTCCAGGACCCCTGTCTTTCTTGTGCAGAAAACACACCGTTTCATTTACTACTCTGACACTGGCTGGGCCGTGGGAGCCGAGGAGTCTGACTTCGAGGGCTGGGCCTTCCCCTTCCCGGGTGTGACGCTGATAGAGGACTTCGTGAGCCAGGAAGAAGAGGCCGAGATGGTGCAGCTGATGGACCGGGAGCCCTGGAAGCCCTCACAGTCAGGACGGAGGAAGCAGGTATGCCGGCCCTGAGCGGAGGAGCACAGTCACCCCGCTGGGCCCTCCAGACTCATCGTCCCCGAGCCCCTTTGCTCACCTCCCTCTCAGTGCCCTCCTCTGCAACGATACCCCACGGCGCCCCAGGGCCACTGGGGCAAGTTCCCCCTGACCTCTGGCTGCGAGTGGGCAGGGCTGCCAGATGGTGTGTGTCTGGGGAGGGGACAGGCCAGTGAGGCGGGACTCTAAGGCAGAGAGCCACTCAGCTCTTTCCGCCCCTCTCCCCAGCTGACCTAGTGCTGGTGGCAGTCATGGAGGGTTCTTGAAGGCTGCCAGCTGCCTTCCTGTCTGAAGTTCTCTCCCCATCAGTTTCGAGTCTCCTTGCACCCATTCTGCTGATGCGGCCTCCAAATCCTGAACCCTCCCTGTGTTGGGCATCACAGCCCCCTCCTTTCTTGGTCCCACTCCTCTCTCCTTCCATTGCTCACCTCCAGCAATCTTCAACTCCCCGAGGACTTGGGAGCCAGCCATTGGGCCACCTTCTCTCTTGGCAGCCTTCCTTACCCAGCCAGGATACCGCCGCCTGTTACACCGTCACTCCCTCGGGTGCTCCCTCACCCTTTTGCCTCTCACTTGTCATCACTCTTTGCCCTCAGCCACAGCCATGGTCGCATCCAGCCCCCACCCCCACCCCCTGACACCCACTCCAGGCCTGCTGGTGGGGCTCCCCCGGCTCCACTCTCCACCACGAGCTGGGCCTTTTTTGCTCCCACAGTCACCGACCTCCCCCAGCTCATTCACTTTGCCGCTCTCCTTCCAAACCTTCTCTTTGCCCCTCCTCACTCCGCTGATGACTGTGCCTCTCTGAGAACACAGCTGCCTGCACTGTGGGGACACTGTTTCCTGCTCGCCTGTGCCCCAGGCTTCTTGCCAAGCCCCCGTCCGGCTGTGAGCTGGATGCCATTCCCTCCTGCTCAGAAGACATCGTCCAGCATTGTTCCCCTCTCTCCTCAAGATCACTTTTGCCTTGACTGGATCTTTTCCCCCAGCCTACCAGTGAGCTCCACCTCTCTCGTCTCTGCAGCAGAGCTGCTCAAGAGTTGTTGAATCTCTTCGATTCCTCTCCTCCCTTAACCCACTCAAACACCACTCCCACCGCTGACCTCCATGCCCTACACCCAGTGGCCAGTTCTCAGGCCCCGTCCTTGGGCCTTTTCTCTTCTTCAGAGGCTCCCTTGTTGCTCTCAGCGAGTCATAGCTCTGCACGCTGTGGGTGTGTCCAGGCCTCCCGTGTTCGTATCTCCAGCCCAGGCATCTCCCATTTGTCAGACCCGAGACCGAGCTCTCGGCCCACACCTGCACCCCTCAGTGTCCCCATCTCAGCAAACTCTGTCTTCCATCTGCTTGGGCCGGAACCCGTGGATCTTTCCAGATTTCTCTGTCTCTCCTTGGTAATTCCTGTTAGCTCTTTCTTCCTTCAAACATACCCCGAATCTGAGAACATACCACCCCCACCACTGCCACCACCAAGCTGCAGGAGCTTCCTGTGGCTTCCTTGCCCCTCTGTGGTCAGTTTTCAGTAGAGAGGAAAGTGACACCACTGATACCTCGTCCCATCGAGTCGCCGCTCTGTTACAGACCCAGCAGAGCCCCATCTCAACCTAAACGCAAAGTCCTTACAACGCCCGGGAAGGCCCTGCGTCGGCCGCCAGCCTGTCCTTCAGGACACTGCTGCTCTCTGCGTGTCCCCCACAGCAGCCTCCTCAGTGTTCCTGAAATGCTCCAGCTTCATTCTCGCTACCCAGCACTCCCATCTCAGGCCTTCTGCCTGCTGCCCAGAGGTGGCCTGCAGGAGCCAGGGCACTCTGACATGCAGCGGCACCCTCCACGGGAGGGGGACCAGAGGGGAGTCTGCCGATAAATGCTCCTCTCTTTCATCCCTTGGGCTACAAATCTGAAGTGTATTCTAGAAGGCTTCTCCCTAATGTGTTTTTTTTAGATAGAAGCCACGTACCATAAAATTCACCCACTTTAAGTGTGGTGAATTGGTTTTTAGTATATTCACAATATTGTGCAACCATCACCACTATCTAGTTCCAGAACATTTTCATCACCCCAAAGGTGATAAAAACCCATTAGCAGTCACTCCCCATTCCCCTGTTCCCCAGCAACCAGTGATCTACCTTCTGTCTCTGTGGACTTGCCTGTTCTGGACATTTTGCATAAATGGGATTACATAAAATGTGACCCTTTGTGGCTGGTGTCTTTCACCAAGCATAACGTTTCCAGGGTTCAGCACTTTGCAGCATGTATCACTGCTTCTTTCTTATGCCTGCATGCTATCCCATCATGTGGCTATGCACCATTTGTTCATCCCTTCATCCGCTGACGGACACTTGGGTTGTTTCCACTTTTTGGCTATTGTGAATAGTGCCACTATGAACATTTGTGTGAAAGTTTCTATGTGGCCACGTGTTTTCAGTTCTCTTGGGTACGTAACTGGGAGTGGAACTGCTGGGTCACGTGCTCACTCTCTTCTCCCTCATGGTTCTGAACCCCAGTTGTGCCCAGTGTTGACCAGCTGATAACACTGCCTTGGATTGGCCTTCTCTCCCTCGCTGCTCGTCCTTCCCAGATCCCGACTCCTTGGTGTCCCGTCCCGGAGCATGCCACCTATACACCACTGGCCTTTTGTCTCTAGCTCTGTTTTCTTGGGTACCTGGGCTGAGACATCCCCCCGACACTTCATATCCCCCTTCCCTGCTTTATTTTCCTCCTTAGCATTTACTGCCGTCTGATGTTGGCTGTTTATTCACATCTCCTTGGTGTCGGCCTCTCCTGCATGAATTCATGTGAGGAATTTTTGCTTGTCTTGGTCACTGTGGTTGAATTCTTCAGAGCTGGTCTGTGATACCATTTCTGTCAACTCACACACTTCTACACTTCTTTTTTGTCCTCATCCTTCAGGACTACGGCCCCAAAGTCAACTTTCGGAAGCAGAAGCTCAAGACCGCTGGCTTCAGAGGCCTCCCCAGCTTCAGCCGGGAGGTGGTGCGGAGGATGGGCCTCTACCCTCTCCTGGAGGACTTCCGGCCCGTGGAGCAGTGTAACCTGGACTACTGCCCGGAGCGCGGCTCGGCCATCGATCCCCACCTGGACGACGCCTGGCTGTGGGGGGAGCGGCTGGTGAGCCTCAACCTCCTGTCCCCAACCGTGCTGTCCATGTCCCGGGAGGCGCCCGGCAGTCTGCTGCTCTGCCTGGCCCCGTCGGGCTTCCCGGAGGCCTTGGTGGAAGGTGTGATGGCTCCCAGCAGGTCCGTCCTGTGCCAGGAGGTGGAGGTGGCCGTGCCCTTACCCCGCCGCTCTCTGCTCGTGCTCACGGGGGCTGCGCGCCACCAATGGAAGCACGCCATCCACCGCAGACACATCGAGGCCCGCCGCGTGTGCGCCACCTTCAGGGAGCTGTCCGCCGAGTTCTCTCCTGGCGGGAAGCAGCAAGAACTGGGGCAGGAGCTCCGGCAAGTTTCTCTCTCCTTTCAAGGGAGGCCCATGTGAGCCGCCTCCCGGGGACAGGAGCTGGTGCTGGGCCTGGCTGGGGCCACGGGCTCCAGAGTCGATGATGCGCCAGGACTGAAGCGGGGAAGCCCAGCACAAGGGTCTTTCTTCCCAGCCCGTTAGGTTTGAAGAGGAGACTGCGCGACACCCTGGGGCCGTGGTAGGGGGAGCCCTGGTCGGGAGTGCGTTTTGGTGGGAATGTGTCTCAGGTCTGTCCCCTTTGACCTGCACCGTGCCCACTTGTTTGGGTTACTTAATTTGCCACAGTTTGAGGGCAGTGGCATAATTTGAGCTTAAAAATGTTGGTACCACTTGAAACCACTTTCCCCTTTCTCCATCTCTCTAGTGAGGTTTCCCGAAGTCCACCTGCGGTCCCGTCACTTGGGCAGTGTGTTGGACTGGAGAACGGAATTGGTAGATTTGAGGTTTTTATTATTTCACACTTCAGAGCTGGTGATAGCTTCTGAGTCAGGCTCTGTCTGGGTCATGCTTGACCCCTGGGGTGTGGAATGCATGAGGACAGGGAACTCTCCTGAGAGTCGGGCATCCCCCCCACACCCGGCCCCAGTGCTCTTAAAAAGTAGGGGGAAAACGTCTCTTCAGCTCCCAGGACAACACAAGGTGGTTCACTTTGTCTGGATGGGTGGCTGTCCCAGAGCACCTGCGGCCAAGAGAGGAGCAGGTCGTGGAGGCTGAGGGCAATAGCGGTGGGCCCTGGGCCTGCGTGACCAGCCCTCTCTCCTGCTGCTTATATGACAAAATACACTCAGCTCACCTGCCACATGCTGGGAGCCAAACTCGAGGGACCAGGGCCCCATCACAGCCTAGAAAGGTTCATGGCCAGCACTGGTCTTCACAGTCATTCTGGAATTTTCTTAGAGCTGTCAGGGTAGGGGGAAGCCGCTGGCCGCTGTGCACTATCTGCAAAGTGGCATCACAGCTGCTGAGCCACTGGCTTGGATTGGAGAACCCTGCAGAGACCTAGTGGAGAGGCTGCTTGGGCTTCTCGTGTCTGAGTGAGCCCAGCTGCCGGCGGGGCAGGACGGTGGGCTCCCAGACGCTTTGACACCCCTCCCTGGGTCAGCTCGCTCGGAGCAGGAGAGTGGAAGACTGCTTGTTCCCAGGTACTGTGACCTCCACGCAAGCCCGCACAGACCCGGCTCCAGGTCCCTCACTGGGCATTCAGCTGCAAGCCTGAGTGGAGTGCCAGCTGATCCTGCTGCATCTGAGCAGCCGGGCAGGCCTGCAGGCACGGTGGTCTGCTCCACAGGGGCTGGTGGAGAGCCTCTGCCCGACAGGCTGAGCCTTGGAGCAGCCCGCCCCCCTGGGTGGAGCCTGGAAGATGCTCTGCCAACAAAGGGCTCCATGGGGAACGCTGCCCACCCAGACCTGTCAGGGAGAGGCGTGTTAAGGCTGGGGGCCACTCAGCAAAGCAGCCCATTACCCCTGGAATCACCAGTGCTACGAGCACTTGACAGTGGACCCTTCCACTGCAGGGTACACCTCAGGACACGCTCCTTCACGTCACGGTCAAGGTGGTGTCCCTGAGTCGGGTTTGTCCTTGAAGCTACTACACGAAGGCCATCGGGCTGCCTGTGCCCGCTGTCTCCCCCAAGCATCCACTGCTCATGCCACCTGCTGGGATGGCGCCCACTCCTGGGTCCCACAGCCTGAGGGGTGCAACGTCTGTTTAACCCCGTATTCTGGGTGGCCGTTCCTGCATTCGGCGCACTGACCTCAAGCACCAGGTGTGTGTTGTGCGGACTGTTTTGTCTGTTCTGTGTTCTTGCAGTCTCAGACTAGGAGACAGCCTGAGTCCATGGGGATATGCTAATACGGAAGCATCCTCTTCCAGACTGAGTTGTGGGGAGCTCTGCTGACATTCCTCAGTCCTCCTGGGCTGCAGAGGCAGTCTGCCCCCTGGATTGGCAGAACTTTTCTATGCAGTGGTGCCAGCTGCTTTGCACACCTGATTCCTAGGAGCCCTGGGCCAGAAAGTTAAAAATAATAATAAAGGACATGGGGGGGCCAGAAAGTTAAAAATAATAATAAAGGACATGGGGCCGGCCCCGGGGCGCAAGCGGTTAAGTGTGTGCGCTCCGCTGCAGTGGCCTGGGGTTCGCAGTTCGGATCCCGGGCGTGCACCGACGCACTGCTTGGCAAGCCATGCTGTGGCAGTGTCCCATATAAAGTGGAGGAAGGTGGGCACGGATGTTAGCCTAGGGCCAGTCTTCTTCAGCAAAAAAAAAAAAGGATTGGCAGATGTTAGCACAGGGCTGATCTCCTCACACACACACAAAAATAATAATAATAATAAAGGACAAATTCTTCTCTAGAAGGGGGCCTCTACCTCTACCAATGTCTGGAAGCTTCCTAATGAGCAGTCACCAGGCTGTGGGAGGGATCTGCCCATTTCTCCTGCCTGGCTAGACCCCAGCCCTGGCCCCAGTGCCACAGGTCCCTGGCGGGGAGAAGGCCCCACGAAACCAGAGCTACGGAGGCTCCTGGAGGCCTGGGGGCCTTCAGGTCATCCTGTCCAGAGGGTCTCTGGTGGTGCTCACCCCAACATGGGGCTGCCCCTTGCTGTGTTTCTGGAATGGGAGAGCCTCACTTGGGAAGGGAAGCAGCAGGCAGAGGCACTCATTTCCATCACGGCTCCACCTGGTGGGAGCCTTGCAGGGTATCTGGGTCCGAGCGCCCTGCTTGTCCTTTCCAGCGTCCACCCACCTCACCTGGGAAGCCTGTTAGGACAGTGTTAGGACACTGGCTGGTGCCAGCAATTAGGAGGAGGCAGGAGGGCTTCAGGAGAAGTGGGCTGTCACCCAGGACACAACAGACACCAGGAAAGAACTGGGGCTTCTGAGGGTCACCTCTATGGCTTTCCACCAGGAGCAGAAGCACGTTTCATAGCTTTACTGGTTTATTCAACCCAGGGCAACTGTTTTAAAAATCAATACACAGGATGGGGGTATGTGCACCCTATGCGACGTACACAACGTCATGCATGATCCGTCAGTCAGCACAGGACAGGTCAGGATGCAGACGAACACGATCCACTCAGGCCTACGCGGTTTTGTCCTCAACAGACCTTCCTAGAAGACACTAAGATACATTCTGTCTTCACAGTTTCTAAAATAGAAACACGAGTTTTGAACCGTCTGGTCAGGTACTGAATGGAGCTGGTGTTCCACTTTGGAAAGGGCTCAGAGCGTCTGCGCTGTCTGTTCTATGAGCACCAGGAGGCTCTGCACAGAGGGAAACAGGGCAAGCCTAAGCGGGCCCTGGGGCAGCCCGCGGCGCTGCTCACCACGGAGAGGAGGCCACTATCCCTGGAATACTTCACCATCAGGTGAAACCTCCAGAAACCGAACTTCTAGCCTGTGACTGGCTTTCCCCCTTCCCCAAACCACCCTACTGAGTTGTTTCTGCAGCTCCAAATGGCAGCTTATCCTCCATCCCCCGACAAGCTCTGGGGCTGCCCTGAGGGGGCTCCCCTCCAGCAGTCCCCAGACCCACAGTCACCTCTGTTCCCACAAAAATGCTGTTTGCCCCATGCCTCTGGGAACTGGAAAGGCTGGAGCTGGGAGAGGCCTCTGGATGAAAGAGAACAAGAAACCACAAGAACATTATTCTCCTAATCAGTGTTAAAAATGGCTTATGTGCCATCTTTCCTACCCAGGTGGCACTGTCACTGGGCACTGAGTATCTGACCCCGCTGCTGCCAGGCCAGGCTAAAAGCTCTGCCCGTGGACCAGGTGTAACAACTGGCCCCCAGCTGGACCTGAGGGCGTGCTTTGCAAAGTCTGGGAAGCTTGGCACTCTGTAGCTCTGACATACCTAGGGCAGGGGCACCAGAAGGCCCAGGAAAGTGGCCAGCAGAAGTGGGCCCAGCATGGCCCCTCTCAAAAGGCTCAGGCCAGAGGGAGGGCCTGCTGTCCCCTCCCAGCTGTGGGGAGAAGCCGACCACTCCCATCCCTGCCAGGACACCAAGTGGCTTTCTTGCAGTGATGCTGACATTCTTTGCAAAGCAAACAGATATTAAAACCAGACAAGCCTTTTCAATAAGCTCCGGGAAAGAACAGGCATGCGCTAGAGAGCAAGCAAGTCACAACAGACGTCTGCAGAAAATGCAAGGGCCACGCCCTTCGGACGCCAGGGCTCTCCTCTGGCCCCGCAGGATGCGATGTCCAGACTCCCCACAGATGTCATGACTTGCACTGGTGATACTCAGCACAGCTCCCAGGGGCCCTCAGCATTTCAGTCACATGTCAGGGTTCTGTGTACAACAGTGTGTCACGTTCCCAGAAACCTCAGCCAGGCCAGGTCGGATTTCTTGGCACAGGAAACCCAGACCCCACAGACATAGTAAGCTGTCGACAGAAAGGCCATCAGAGCACGAAGTCCAATGACTACTTATGAAAACAAAAGCAAAGGCCTCTCTCACCAGGCGGCTGCTGGCCAATGCGGTAAAGGTGGTTTTTGAGAGCAGCTCAGGGTGCAGTGTGCTCACACATGGGCTGGGCCGTACGTAGCAGGAGTGTGCACAGCCCAAGGACCCGGGCTCGGGTCTCCCAGATGCTCTAGTGAAAACACCAGAACCCACATGTGCACGGCTGTGGACACATGTGGGCTGGGCCCGTGTTTTGCTGCTAGGCCTGCGGGGCCCAGGAGGGGGACACTATGTGGGGTCTTGCCTTCCCTGCGGTTGCTCCACGTCATTATAAGCAGGACCTGCGTTTGGCCGGGGCTAGCCCCTGGCGCCACCACCCACAGACCAGGCCAGGCCAACGGCCTTGTCTAGATAGGAAGTCCCCCAGGTGGCCCCCTCCCACCACCTGGGACCACAGGCAGCAGGAGGACGGGCAGGCCCTGCTGCCTGAACAAGTGCCCCTGGCCTTCTGTGGCCGCCGCTCAGAGGGGGCAGCTGACAGGCTCAGAGGACATTCTGTGGCCAAGAGATGGAAGCCTCTGGACTGTGGGCCCTTGCCCCAATCTGGCAGCCTTGCTGGGTCAATGTGGCCTGGGCTCCAGGCTGGCTGGGAAGAGCGAATTTCAGCCCACTTTGCCTCGGAGCACCCACCAGTTAACAGCCTCCTCAAGTGGGCATCTCACATGGGATGCCCACAGACATGTCTCCCCGACCCTCCCAGGCATCCACCTGGGAAGTCTGCCCAGGGTCTGACAAGTCTGACGCCTGCCAGAGCACTCACCACACCTGCTAGACTGACGTGCCCGGGCTCCTGCCTTCTCCCACAAGCCGGGCTGCCCAACTGTCTCCAGGGCAGGGCAGGGAAGCCCAGGCCGAGCTGCAATCCTGTGCCCCGTCTAATCTCAGCAAGGTGGTGCCATCAGACATGCTGCCCGGCCCCCACGAAAGCCACCTCGGGTGTCACAGGGCAACCCCTTCCCTGAACTCACAGCCTGCCCCGACTCTCTGGGCTTCCACCAGGCGCCCTGCACCCGCTGGCCACTTGGTCCACGTCTCTGAGATTGCCCCTGACCGCTGGCTGCTGCTTGGAGCTCTGCAGGAAATCCCAGGGCCAAGGGCTCAGCCTATCTTTGCCCCAAGCTCCTCCACACAGAGTCTCTCATTTAGTTCAAGATTTCCGTTTTCTAAGGGAAAATGATCTGGGTTTTACAGCATTAAGACAGGAGTAAAACTTTGGTCCTGACCTATCTGGCAGTGTGTAGGTAGCCTCTTTAGCAATATGCATTTTTGAAATGCTCCAAAACGCAGGCGATCTGTGCCGGCCGCAGTGGCCTCAGCCCTCGGGGCCGCACCTCACACGACCTGCAGGCTGCGCTCGTGCCCATCCAGCTGCACCTTGAGCTTGTGTAGCTCCTCGATCTCACGGTTGTGCCGCTCAGTTTTGTGGCGCACCAGTGAGCGGTAGAAGTGGATGGTGAAGACTACGAAGATGAGGCCCACGGGCACCATGATGATGGTGGACACAAGGGCGGCCTGCCAGCCCGTGTGGCCGCCGGGGCCTGCCGGGTGGCCGGGCTGGTGGCGTGCGTCCACCGGCAGGAACTTGATCCAGCAGAGCAGCACCACCTCGGCCAGGAAGAGCAGGATGCCCAGCACGGTGGAGAAGCCCCAGGCCAGCTCGATGTAGGGGTGCATGCGCTCGTGCGGCGACTCGCTGATGGAGTTGAGGTTGTGGATGTTGCTCACGGCCTCCACGTTGGGCAGGATGCACGTGCTGATGAGCAGGGCGAAGAGGTGCACGGCCACCAGCACCGTGGTGCAAGCGCTGAAGGCGATGAGCAGCGGCCGCGGGTACTGGTACTGCGTCTCCAGCTGCACCTCCACCATGGCCACCTGCAAGGCAGAGCGGGCGCTGCTGGGCCGGGCCGGCCGGGCCCCCACGGACTCGCCTGCTGGCCTCACCGTGTTCCCGGCCCTCGCAGACAGAGGGCACCCTCCTCGCTGTTCAGGTGCTTCGAACTCTCCTTTTTTCTAATGAGGTAAAGAAGATCTCACCAAGGACAAATCAAAAAAGTCCAGAACAGACTAAAGAAGCACAGGGTGGGGTGGGGGGTCACCCTCTGGGTGCCTTCGCAGACACACACTGTAGGTGTATCTGGGTGCCGAGCCACAACCCAGGGCAGAGGCCATACTTCCCTGGCAATGTGTGGCTTTGCTATTGATCTCAGAGCCAGGCTGCAGGCTGCCTTAGCTGCAAAACGCCTGCTGTTTCTCAAAAAATAAAAACTGACCTTGCAAAACGTAAAAAAAAGTAAAAAACAGAGCTCCTGATGGGCCCCAGGTTCAGAGCTGCACACTTGGACGGCCTCACACAGACCACAGGGTGCGTCTCTCAGCTGAGACCCACAGCCGGAGGGAGATGCCCCCATCCTAAAGGCCAGGAACAGCGACATAAATGGGGACAAGGGTGAGGAGGGGCTGTGGGAAGGGGGCGGGGCTGAGAAAAGTGAGCTGAACCATCGACCACGGTCACAGGATGCCAACAGGTAGCGTCTAAAATGGACACACTGAGACACAGCGGCCTCCAATGGTGTTAGGGACGTGGAGACTGAGGGAGCTGCAAGTGGCCGCCCCCGGGCGAGGGGACACGGGCTGCTGGGCTCCGCTATAAGCCTCTCAGCAGCGCCTGTGCTGAATTTTTTAAACTATGTGCATATATTGACTGATAACTTTTTTTTAAATGAAAGGGGAAAGAAGGCCCACCAAGGGGACCAGAAGTCCAGCTTCTCTTGAAGGAAGTAAATTATATTAAAAATTTAAAAGTTACTACCTTAGAGACAGGCACCTCCACGCCCTAAGGATTCCTGGTATAGAAGGGAACGTTTATCGATCCTGACTGACTCTATTCATGAAAGACCCACCCTAAACTGTTCGGGGAAAAAATTGAGAACAAGAGAGTGCTCCAGAGGGATAACTTTGGGAGGGTCAGGGTGGAGGGGGTCCAAATGGGGACGCGTGTGTGTAACCTGATAATTGCTTCGCGCCATGGCAATTCGCGCCATAAAATGTAACTGTTTAAATGTTTTAAATTAGCCAATCATGTAAGACCGCGCCAACCTTTTCCC